AAGAAAGAGTGGATGGGGACAGACAGGCGGGGTTTATTTCCCAAGTTATCCCCGTCATTCTTTCAGTGTCGTGTTCCCCCACCCCCATGAATCTCAATCCTAGTCTCAGGAAGTCGGCTTTAATAACCCGAGGCAGTCAACTTTCCCCAGCTGAGCCGTAGGACGCTTGATAGAGACTGGTCTCTAGGTGCCTCCCAGTGCTGGGTAGCAGCACAAGGAAGTGGGGAGAGAAGGTTCTGTAGATATTTCAGCCATACTCAGTCCTCACAACTCCTCAAACTTTGCCCTCTCTGGACAACAGAGCATTCTATCACCTTTGTGGATTTATCTCAGATGAAAATAACAGTGGCATTCACAGCCTACATCACTGCCTGTGCGAGACACAGATGCCGTGTCGATTTTATAGAAGGAGTTTGAGGCAGTGCACAGTGGGAGCCATGCATGGGGGGTAGAGGACGATACCTAGCCAAGGAAACTGTAGCAAAGCTGACACAGCCATGTACGGTTTTACAGAAATTAAGTCACTTGATTTTTTTTTTTCGCAACGCTCTGACATTGTTGCTTTTAGTTACTCTCATTTTAGAAAAGGAAATCAGACAAACTGAGATTTGATTTATATCTTCTGTCTGGTTTCAGTGTGAGAACAAAACCAAACTGTAGGAGACCAATTTTAAGCCTTTCACCAGAAGTCTGTGTGGCGAGTCTGTGAGTGCGTGCGCGCCTTCACACGCGTGCGTGCGTGTGCACGCATTTGTTCTGCTTGTATAAAATATTGGCTCAAAATGCTGGATTGAGTACTATAGTGATATTTTATTTGTGTTTTAGTGAATAAAACTTGCCTAAAAATCAGAAGGACAAAGAGAAGCCACTAGAGGTCAGGCAGTGGTGGCAAAAACCTTTAGTCCCAGGATTTGGGAGACAGAGGTAGGTTGATCTCTGAGTTCAAGGCCACCCTGGGCTACACAAGATCAACGCAAAAATAAATCCAGGTGGATTTGTTTACATTTTTATCCTGGTACTAGGGAGTCACACACCTTTAATCCCAGCACGCGAGGGAATATAAAATGAGAAGAGAGGCTTAGTATGCTTAGTCTGCTTGGTCTGCTTAGTCTGCAGTCGCCCAGCCTTGGTAGAGGTAAGACTTCTCTAGTGGCTTGGCTGCTTTGCTTTTCTGGTTTTGGGGTTGGACTCCAATATCTGTCTCTAGGTTTTTATTATTCATGCTACTGAGTACCTCTTAACTTAGATTTTTATGTATTATGTATACAGAATCCCTTTGACAGGGTTCCTTACAGATTTGGCCCAGGAATAACTTTCTCTTAAATGACATTATGATTTCTTCCACTCAACAAGGAGAGTTATGATATGAGAATTATGAAAATTCCCACTTCCCCTACTTCACGGTTATGGGGAAACTTGGGGTTTAGTTTCATGCTCATATGCTATTATTTTACCTGAACCAGGTGCTTATTATTATTATTATACTTCTTAATATTTTTTTCTATGTAAGCCACTTTAAGTCCTTTCTGGAAGAAAGCACAGTCTAAACAGTAAAAGGACAACAAAGTGCGATGCCTTCAGGGCCATGCTAGAGAGGTGATGACCAACCACAGTGTGTTATGTGACACCCCTGGAACCCTTTATCTGAAAGGGAATATATTAGAAACAGGGTTCTGGGAAGAGCCTCTCTTACATGGTGTTTATCACTTTTTTTCATGTCCCTTAAATAGCATTCCAAACCACTTTGGGGACGGAATATCAAATCTGGAGCGAATGAGCTGATTACTCTCATATGTCTTCTTACTGGGATCTAATTAAAGTTTTGAATCTTGTCCAAAACTGTGCTCTAAAATAAACCAATTTAAATCCACATTTATCAGTCAGGCTTACAATGGGGAATGGTTTCACCCATTTTGCTCATTCACCAGTGAAGAACTGGGCTTAATTTGTAGATTCTTATCTGGTTCCAACATTTTTTCCAGGAATACAGCATCCTTTATCTTGCGGATTGACAAACACTATCCACATTAGGTCATTCTTCAAGAGACGCCTTCTGAAGGGCCAAGATGCTGTGATTCAATAACAAACCCCCAGCGTCTCAATTTTGCTGCTCTTTCGACACTGCAAAGAACAAAGCCTTCCAGACCCAGGATGGTCATTAGGGGGACATAATGCTTTTAAGGAAATTCCTATAGAGAAGACAGGAGGAGTGGGGAGCGGGGAGGGGAAAGAGAGGAAGAGGAATGGGCAGAGAAGACAACTGCTGGGCAGAAGGGTATGAGTCTCAAACAAAGTCATTAAATAAGAGGGATTTCAGCGAGTCTTTACACTTCAGTATCTCACTACCGCATTCCTATCCAATCTCAGCTTGCCCTATATCCTGCGTTTTTACTTCTAATTATGTGATTTATCTCTGTTTCACTATTTACTTGACGGACATTTATGGAGATGCATCAGGCCCTTTGTAGCATACAATTTAAAGAGCAAACATATAGCATCTCACGAAAGAGCAAATGATAGATATTATACGGAGTGGTATTTATAAACCAACTGGCTCCTGGAAAGGTCTATAAAAATGGTGCCCGTCTACGGCACCCACGACTGAGTTGTGATTCCATTAAGAATCCATACTGGCTAATTCACATTTTTATGCAACACATAGAAAAGAATTTACTCCGACCATTGCTGATTGCAGAATCTTATCAAATGCCCCCAAATGAGTAATGGATTGGCCATATCTAAAATTGTTAACGCATTTCTAAAGCAGTTGCTTTACAGCAAATATTATCTACTACTTTGTGTAAACATAAAACCCGTGATCTCTCACGGAGAAGTGTGCACACTGCAGCTCTCCCAACCATTCCTCAGTACAATGCAGGTACTTGGTATTCCTGCCAAGCTGTGACAAATTCCCAAGTTCTTACCCGTGAAATGGGCATACAAGGCAGGTTTTTCTGTGGTGCACGAGCTTCTGGGTAGCTCTTACACCTGCACAAGAAAACTTTGGCAATGTGTTTATGTGATCATGTGGGTTTTTAAAAATTTTTTTTTTTATTTTTGTACAATTTGTTAAGAGTAAGATAGTTTAACCACTATGGGCTGAACAGAGGTCTCTTTCCAGCTGGATGTCCACCGGGTGCTAAGGGCTGCTGGAGCAGGTTAGATGTGCTGATTTGTTTGGTTTTCTCTCTTAAGAGGACCACCCAAACTGCACACATTTCAGGCCCCGTGAAAAGCTGCATCCGCCCCTACAAGTGGGAACAGAACCCAGTTCACAGGTGTATTGTGAAGGTTAAATAGCGAATACATGTAGAGAAAGCGAGGCCACAGGGGTCAGCATTTTACATAAGGTGAAGAGCATAAGGCTGTTATGTTGTCTGGATTTTAATTTTTTTTTCCATGGAAAAGGATTCCGCAGTCCTGGGCAACAAAGGATTTGCCATGATTTTCGTGGGCTCTAGCTATCTTTGAGTCTCTATAGTTATTCCAGATTGAGATGCTTGTATTTTGTGTGCCTTAAATACAAAGAGAGCATATACATCAATGTATATTAAAACCTTCTTCTGACGTCAAAACAAATGAAAATACCTTTGCTGGGCCCTAGAAGTTCTGTGAGCTGTGTCTAATAGAAAAGACAGGATTTGCCAATATGAGTACTAAGTTTCTCAAGCCGTGGGAAAGAATAAGGATAAAGAAAAGCAACTGTGGTACAACTTAAATGTGGGGGGTGGGGGCGGGAGTAGTACAGACTAGAAATAGGCATATGGACAGCAGGAGGCAGTTTGTGTTCAGATTACACAATTTAATGGAGGTGGCCACTCGGACACTCTTAGTGATCATCTTCTGGAAGACAGTATTATTTAAGGAATTTATTTTCCAACGCAGTGCATTTTTCAGGGGTTTTCTTGCCCATTTGATAGTTAAATTATAAAGAGGGAATATTTACTTTAGAAAATAAACTTCATCCTGCCAATTTGCAAATTGCTCTAGATTCTAGAGTCTAGAATTTCAGGCAAAGGTCTCTCACAAAGTCCTTGGCCTTGGTGCATCAGATAAGTCACAGAGGAAAACAAACTCCCCTTGAAAGGTGTGTCTGCAGAGCCTTGTGACAGCGTGCCAGTGGCTCCTGTCCGGCACATTTCGGAACTTTGCAAAAATTAATTGTGCTCAAGAGAACACCATCAAACGCGTCCGGCACAGAGCGTAAACATCTTCAAACCACAATTCTGCGCTACAAAACCCTCTCCAACTAATTTCATTTAGTGCTTTACTCAGGAGGAACACTGAGGCCAAGTGAAACTGCGGAAATAGGAACAATGCACGGAGGAAAAATCTCACCCCATTAAGGGATCCGTTTCTTCTCTGCACAAATAAGCCCACCACGCCTCGGAGGCAAGACTAGATGGCTCCAGGATGTTCTCAGAATGCCCCCGCGGGCCCTCAGGAGCTGAGAGATCCCGCACCAAGAAGGAAGGAGACCTGAACGGCAGCGCCTTGGCCCTCGGGGCAGTTTAGGTAATACACAAAATTATAAAAAGAAATCTAGCCAACAGACGTGCCTAAGGCAGAGGCTGGTGTCTGTGTACATTTTCGGGGCGACCCCGGTTTCCTCCTCCATGCAAGGTTTGCAAAGCGCAGTGACAGACGTACGGGAGCTGCGCTGGTTCCCGCAGGGCCGCCTGGTTTCCACGGGCCTTTCCTGAGGCTTTGCACCGGCAGGGCCGCCGCGCTCTCACCCGCGGCTCAGTGACCTTGCAAGGCTTGCGGCGCGACCCGAGTCTCAGCAGAGGCACCACCCTGGGCGCTGGGCCCGCGCGCGACCGAGCGGCTCCGACTCACGCGCGCCCTCTCGGGCCCGCGCCCGGTGCGCGCGGCAGGGCCGGCGAGGGGAGGAGGGGGTACGGGCGCGTGGGGCGGGGCCTGGGCGGGGCCTGGGTGCTGCGCCCCCCGCCAAGCTTTTTTGCTGGCGCCGCCCCCGGGCGCGCAGTCCGCGCCGGAGCGTCTCGGCTGTGGCTGCGGCCGTTACCGTCGCCTGGCGCTGCGGTGGCTCTTGGGGTTCTGGGAGGGCAGCGGCGGCCCGTCGTCGGTGGCCTCTGGAGCCTGCCTGCGAGGGGACAGGGAGACCGGAAAGGTGGCTGTCGTCGGCCGGCTCCTTCGCGATTGCAGTCCCGGGTTGCAGGGTCCGTGCTGCCCCGGGGCGGCGGCCGGCTGGGATGGCGAGATAGCGGCGCGGGAGCGGCGGGTGAGTGCGGGGGCGCGGCGCGGCAGCCTGGAGCGCGTGCGGGGGGGGGGGGCGCGTCCCCGGCTCTGGGGCAGCCCTGCTCGGGCTCGCGCCGTCCGTGCCAGCCGAGGGTCAACCGTGCTGTCCGCGTGGGCGCGGACTGCACCGCGCCGAACTTGTGCGGCGCGAAGGGCGGTGAGTTCCAAGGCCAGAGGTGACCTGGTGGGGGACGGGAAGGACCTTTAATTCCCCATCTGGAACTGGGACCTGCCAGATGATTTCTTGCCTCTGTGCCTCCGCAAAGTAGTTCCTCGTCCTTTCTGTTTTTATGGTGCATTTGACTGATTTGTCTATATTTCTAGGTGCTTGTGTCCGAAGGCGCTAAACTTCCTAAACCCCTAGTTAAAGTGTAGGCGAGCAACGTTAGGCTTCGTGATTGGTGGCATTCCTGATGTGTTCTCTAAAAGCACAGATCGTGAATTCAGACGCGTAGAAAACTGCACAGAATGTGTTGTGAACTTAACATGAGAGCCTGAGTAATGTGATTCCAGCCCCGTCTTCAACTGCCACAAGTCTGTCATTTACACTTGGGTTATCTTTGTGACCATTTTTGTATGTGTGCTTAAAGCAGTGAGATATTGACAGGACATGTGTGCCTTTATTGACTGACATTTACATAGAAATACATTCTTTGCATTTACTTTGTGTTTCCTTAAATACGGTGGTTTTTTTTTTTCCCCAGCAAAACTTTCAGTTTAAAGTTTGTCATTCAATTTGTCTTCAGTTGCATATTTAATTCAACAAAATTGCTCAGAGTCAAGTTGATGTGACTATTTAGTCAGGGGTTCAAAAGTGGTACCCAGGTCGTGCGGTGGCTGCGACAGTGCACAGTCTTTAATCCCAGCACTTGGGAGGCAGAGGCAGGTGGATCTCAGTGAGTTTGAGACCAGCCTGTCTACAGAGGTCCAGGACAGCCAGGATTGTTACACAGAGAAACCCTGTCTCAAAAAAAAAAAAAAAAAAAAAAAAAAAAAAAATCCCTTCAGCAAAAGTGGTGTCCACATTATATTTAAAACAACCTTCCTCCACCATGAAAAACTAAAGCTTTTTTTTTTTTTTTTGCAGCTGATGCTCTCCCCTCCCCTTACACGATTATTTTGATGCGGACCTGAAGTCTTTGTACTGCACTAGGAGCAGAGGCTTCTAGTTTAAGCTTTCCAAGGAAAGCCGACTCAGCATAGCCCATGCTTTTAAAAACACCACATTGTTCTCTTTGTTCCTTTCTGTCTTACATCCAGGTGGAAACTGTGTCCCTTTGGAGGCTTCTCTGAAGAGCTTTAAGCTCAGTTTAAGTAGGAGGTATATTTTCAAGGAGGCCTGGGCAGCTGCTGGCTCTGCCAGAGTTGAACGGAGGTGTATTTGCTTTGTACTAGGTGAGCTCACAAGGCTCTCGGCGCTAATTAAGTGGATTCTTGGATTCTCTTCTGGGAAATGAGAACCGGGCACTGTGCTATTAAACCAAGTGAAACTTTGCTGAGTTTTTTTTAAAGAAACTTTTGGTTCTGAAGACTCATTCTTGGGGGCATTGTTAGTAGTAGTATAGACGATCACGTGAAGATGTCATATTCATTGGGGGATGTCTCTTCATATTGACAAGACTCAGTAGTTACAGAAAGGTCAGAGTAAAAAGCGCACCTCTACCCCGCCACGCCCCCATAGCATCAGTAAGAACCAGGCTTCCAGACCCTTGGCTTTCTCTCTCCGAATATAGCCCAGTGCTCTGCAAACATTTTGCTCCTTTGTCTTCTGACTGACTGGGATACATTGTATGCCCTGTTCTGTGCCAGCTTAGCCTCCCCCTGCAGAGTCCAACATCCTGACCCTTGCCATCAGTCCCGGAAGAAAAGCCGCCTCACTCTCTCACAGCAGCTGAGAACTCCATTAAGGACAAACCGTAATTCACTTCCGTTTCTCTTTTCGTGATAGGTATATACATTCTTTCTGATATCTTGCTGTGAAATTATTGTAAAGTACTTTTTTTTGAGGCTTTTAAGTGGATTTTAGTTATTCCCAGGGCCCAAAGACAGCAGTGAGTTGCTTCTTCCCTTTGCAGGAAGTGGATGCCTGCTCTACCCAGTGCATATCCTTTGCTTTTATGACTCCAGAGTGACCCACAGGGATTTGTGGCATCTTCGCTGTGAAAGGAGAGCTTTGATGGGTAGGACCTAAAGTCATTCCCTTAATGACAGCTTGGGCCTTGTTTCAACAACAGAAAGGAACAAATGTGTAATTATAAGAATAATTCACCAAGGCAGGTGTGGGACCTTTAATCCCAGTATTCAGCAGGCAGGGGCAGATGGATCTCTGCGAGTTCTAGGCTAGCCTAGGCCACAGAGTTCCAAGTCAGGGCTATATAATGAGACCCTGTTTTTTTTTTCTCTTCAATCTTACGAGTTTAAATGATTTAGAATATGAATTGAATGCTCATGCCTTTTATTAAATCGACAGAATGGTTTTATGTTTCAGAAAGTTTGCTCGCCACTAAGTTAAAACCTGTGCTTTCTGTGGTAGATCACGCCGTCTTCTACTTCAGTGTGAATAAACTGCTTTCACACCTTTATAGGCTGGGAAAGGATTACTGCCAACTCTTAGGGGAAGGATGTTTTTGAAAATATTTGTCCTTGGCATCTCTTGTGATTTTTTTTGAAGCATAATGAACTGTCGAGCTTAGGTGGTGCTAATGCTGGCACTGGAGCCTTACCACATTGAGTAGCCTCATGTGATCATAGGTGGAGGCCGTGGGTTTTTTTGTTTGTTGTTGTTGTTTTGTTTTTTTCTTCCAGAAGCTGTGAGGATCCTATCAAAATTTAATTGAAACCCAATTGGCTCTGTTAGTACTTAGGGCGTGGCTTTTTTCCCTTTGTTATTTGGGAGCTAACATTGTGGTGCCAATACAAACGTGTTACTACTGTCCCTATTTGTTCTTCGTAAACGGGTGTTCATATGCCTTCTGTTAATATTCCGGGCAGTTTTCAGGGAACTGAGATTTAGTTGTGTGCAGGTTAAACACCTGGCTGTCATGAGTTTCCATCTGGATTGTGGAGATGAGTTAAAATCGGGGACCAGTGAAGACGATGCCAGGTAGTGGCAAGGACTGATGGACTAGCATGGCTGAGCTGGGTGAGGATGCAGCCTGAGGGGCGATGGCCAGAGGATCCTCATTGGTGTAGGAAGGTTGGAGCTGAGCACTGAATTCTCAGGAGAAGCAGGATTTTGGTGAATGGGGAGGTGTAGCTCAGGCCGGGGGCACCTAGGCGACCTAGGGCCACCATGGTGCTGTGCTGGGGGTCAGGGAGGAGGGGAGTTTTCCAGAACGTTGCTGGGGTTGGTGTGCTGCCTCTCTTTAGAGCTGTGTGGCAGAAGCAGACTGTGGGAGAGTCCTCCATGGGCTGGTGGCGTCAGGAGTTCAGGGCTAGGTCTTGCTGATTCCTGTTGCATGTGCAGCCAAGACACCACCTACTCTGGGCTTTATTTGTTGAATAACTGAACAAGTGATAAAGATATTAAAAAATAATCTTGCCTGTTTTTTGGTCAAGATTATATTTATTATTATTATTATTATTGGGGAGGGTGGTTCGAGACAGGGTTTCTCTGTGTTCGAGGTTCGAGGATGGCCTTATACTCACAGAGATCTACTTGCCTCTGCCTCTCAGGTGCTGGGATTAAAGGCATGCGCCACCACCATCCAGCACTAGTCAGAATTCTTAGTCAGGAAGGAGTCTTTATCTGAGCTCTCCACCTTGGTTCTGACCCTTGACCTACCACGTCTGTTATAGTTCACACACTCTGAAACTGTTGCCTTAAGCCAGTTGCTTCTCATTCTTCTGCCACGAAATCCAAGTCGGAAATGCTAAAAACAAAACAAAACAAGGCCCTTTTTAGTAAACCATAGTGATTTCCGAGAGAGATTTAGCCCGAATTTTCACTGTTGACCCCAGTGAAATGCCATTTGCATGGGAGTAAGAGTTTCTGGCGCCTGTTCGTGTGTGGCTGTTTAGGTTCTCCGGGTGTGCGGATCGCTAATGAGCTGTTCAGAAGTGTGTGTTTCACTCAGGTACTCTATTCTCACCGGAGGAATGTGTGTGTGCCTGCTCTATTTTGGGAAATAGCAGGAACTTGTGGTATTTCCTCTTCCCAACTCCTAATCTGTTTGTCTTTCTAAATATATGTTCCTTTATATTAATTGAAAGCTTGGGAAGTGGGTTTGATGCCAAGCAATGGCTGTAGCCGTGTCATAAGTGTCGTGTCTCTCTGCAAGAGTCTTGTCTCTCTGCAGATTGACGATTGGGCTCCTGTTCGGTATTAGGAGTTCTCTCACCCTTGCAGAAGGAGAGTTTGATTTTTCTTTTTAAATGCCCCCTCCGGACTGACTGATTCCTGATGATAGCAGCTTGCTTCCACATAAGATAACTGTATTTCCCTACTTGCTGGGGTTCAAGCTGTGCAGACAGTAAGAAAAGGATGGACTCTGAAATGCCTCAGTCTTAGCCCAGCAGCTCTGGTCGTTTTCGTGCTTGCACTGCAGGCAAATAGCCGATGCTGGGGGTGGAGAGATGGAGAGTGTAGAGGCCGAGAAATTCAAAGCACTTTCAAGCAGTTGCCTTGCAGTCCCCCACGGGTTGCAGAAGGACAGGAATTCCAGTTGTCTTCCATTGTTTCGAGTGACTGCACATATGGCCACATATGCTCCTTCTGGCTGCAGCCAAAGGAAACTCAAGTAGGTGCTCAAAAGCCTGCGACTTAGCGTTGGAAGGTGAGGGAAACTATCTGGTGGATTGTTTTGTTTCGTTTCCCAGTATACTTTTGAATCGTGGGGAAAATCTTGGCTATTATTTATTCTTTTGGTTTTATAAGGCTGAACCCGTTGGAATCAGCACACACAGCTAGAGTTGAGACTGATCTTGCTAAGTGGTAGTGCCTCGAAGGACCACTAGGAGGCGGTGTTACTTCCTGAAGGTGTG